GCTTTTTTCTGGTTTTGGGATTAATTTTCTAAAATTTGACTGAAGGTGTTTGAGAAAATTCATCAAACAGGAGCATGAAGTTGACAGTGAAAATATTTTGACTCTCAAATTCACAATTGACAATCAAATTTAATCCAATTATTGTCATGTCATAATCTTGTAAAGTGGAATTTCAGGAACCATACACATTAATTAGACAGGAAATCAGAAAATAAACATTCCTAATTTACATACTACATCTTTCTCTTTTAAATATTTTATATAAATAAACCAAGTACTAACGATCCAAACAGTAAAACGAAACCCGAAATCCAAAACAACATTTTAACGAAACATTGGTAGCAGCTAATGAACTTTTCGTATGAGGAAGTATATCAATTATAAGTGAGTAAGTATTTCATAATGAAAAATGGTATCAGGTGTCTAGAAGAGTAAGCATACCCTGCGTGGCACAAAACTGCTCACATGAGGAAGTATATCAATCATAAATGAGTGAGTATTTCATCAGGTGTCTAGAAGAGAAGGAGCTATTGAGGTTAATCTTGGTATATTATGCAAATAGAAACCAGTATTATCTCTTCTATACAAACACGGAAACATCTATTTAGAACTGATTTAAATTGCTCTCTATGTTTAAATATAATATTTCTAGAAATTGAGGGTATATTAAAATTCTCAGTATGTTGAAAAGTAAATAAAAACAGTTAGTTTGAACCTGAGAAGAATAAAATTAAAATATAAACATTTCATTTCAAGTAGGGTGGATCACTTTAACACGTTATTGTTAATTTAAAGGAATTGTACCACTTTTGAAGGGGAATGTATGCTGGCTTCATAAAAACAGGACAAAGACAAAAGCTCTGACTCCCAAATAGTAATATTTATTGTAAAGTGAGTTTGGGTTTTCAGTGTAATTACAACAGAGAAAATCCTTGTTTGATTAACTTCATTTATGAAATTGCTAATACTAATATGAATAGAAAGTAGAGGTGTTCTAATGGCTTGGAAAAATACCAGTTTGTCTCACATGTCCATAATTAATTCATAATTAGCTAAATTAGAAGAGAATTACCAGCAGAATTCCAATGAGTGACCGATCTAGAAAGGTCAAAAGTCTATATTTGTTTATCCAGACTGTCATACATGGACATTTATGATTGGTTAAAACTCTTAATTATATGCAATAAGAACATAATGATAAGATTAAGAATAAATGATAATTCATTAGAAACACCAAGTAATCAAATAGTTTGCTTAATTTGACACTAAAAAATAAGGAAAACCATCTTTAAAGATAACTTTTACAATAATATTCTGATTTTTGAAATGTTTTTATGATAACATTCAGTTTTATCTTTACTTTCGTACTAAAATATAGATATTATAATAACCTAGTATCAGCATATTCTCCCACTTACTATTTGAGACTACTAACGAATATCTAACATTTACTACAGTAACTACAATACAAGATTGTTTGTAAAGTGGGATAACAATGAAGGGTGTGGCAGCAGGCAGGGTATGCTTACTCTTCTAGACACCTGCTATCACTTTTCATAATGACAATCTTACACACTTATAATTGAAATACTTCTCATGTGAATAGTTTATTAGCTGCTACAAATGTTTCGCCAATGTGTTATTACGGATTTCGGGTTTCGTTTTGCAGTTCGAAATGTTAGTACTTGATTTATTTATAGCTCATTCAGATGTGAGTTAGATCTGCTCAGCAATAAGGTGCTGTGGGTTTGAATCCTCCTCAATGTAAGAAAAATTTTGAAGCTCAGTCAATGCTTCCGAGAGTCTGTTTGGTGTCAACTTTCACCCCCTATTTCCACCTTATGAGCAAATTTATTTACTTTTACAAAAGAGGTGTGACATGAAGTTACTAAGTGGTATAGTATCTTGAAATGAAAGTTTGTATATAAAGTGGTATGAAATGATGTTAAATGTAGAATGAAATAGAAAGAATTTAACTGAAACGATCTGATTTGATGGGAAGGTAAATGGAATTTAGTGTTATATCTTTACAACCTCTTACTGTATGTAATGGATTTATAACTTTACTTTAAGAGAGGAGATATGATTCAGGTGACTGTTTGAGTAGGATTTATTGGAAGTGATTTAAGTAGAGTGATATTTTTGAATCATTGGACATGATTTTATGTGAATTTTGTTAACAGATACTGTGACATTCATGATTTTTGAGTAATTTGTAAGTTATATCCATGATTTTATCAAAATATGTTGAAATTCTCACTAAAAGTTTTAATCTGATTTAAATGATATTATGTATGTGTGTATATTAGTGAAATCTCATTATTAGAAAATTTATAAGAACTTTTGTTGCACTTTGTATGTGGCAGAAAAATGCAATAATCAAATAGAATTAGACAGTTTAGAGCTCCAGTCAGACATCACTGTCAGACATCACTGGCAAAGCCAGCACATCTTCAGTATTTGAATTCAAATATTGGTGATATCAGACTTGTCTGTGATACTGTAAGAGCCTAGTTCCACTAGTACCAATTTTTAAGTACCTTTAGTGCACATGTACAGATATCTCAGTTTAAATCACAGTAATAACTCAGAAACATCCTGGTATGTGGCCTCGGTTCATTGCCAAGTTTAGTTCTTTTCATCAAACACTTCTATTAGTGAGTAAGGTCTGTATTCAAAGTGCAAATTTCAGAAATATGGAGGTATATCTTGTATTTTTGAAAGTATAAATATCTGTGTTACCTGTATTCTAAGCTAAGAATTGTTTCTGTACATGTATGTGCCCTCAGTTAACTGCCTTTGATAGCTTTCATCCTATAGGCCTACTTATGTTCCAGCCTGTATTTTAATTTTCACAAATAAAAACTGATATCTTTTGGGTTTTTCTTTTTTGAAGAGAATACATGTCTGTGTTACATGTAATCTAGGCTAAGAAACTTGCCTCGGTTCACTGCCAAGTTAGATACCTTTCATCCTATAGGCTTACTTCCGTTAGTAAGTTCCAGCCTGTATTCAAACTTGAGAGTTCTCAGACTCAGATTGAAATTTTATTAGCTATATCTCTATTGGTATATCGTGCAATTTTATACTTTCATTAGAACATTTAGGTGAGTCAGTTCTAGTCTGTATTCAAAGTGGAATTCTGAGAAATAAGGAGGTATATCTTGTGTTAGGGTGAGGGTGATATGAGATTAAAATTCCCATGTACAGCAACTGTCTAGGTTACAAAGCAAGAACTATATATTTCTATATCCTGTGATATATTTGAGGGCTGTGTTACCTGTATTATTCTAGCCTAAGAAACTAAGGTGTTTATGTATGAATATATAGTGTTGATTCACAGCTGAGTTTATCAAACATTACAGAAATACAAATATTTTGGTGAAAGTATTTGGTATATTTTCGATGCAAATTTGTGTCAATTTGTGAAATTGTTCAACTTTAAACCTTAGAGATTTTGATTAACTATAGTTCCTCCTCTAGCACATGTTTGGGATATTACATCCTCAGCACAGCTATAATTTTGGAAATGGAAGTAACTTTCCTATAGACAACTCAATGAACATTAGTAATATAAGTAAGTAGTATGAAATATTTTGGTACCATAGTAAAATAAAATATATTTAGAGTAATATAGTGACATCTGTTAAGATAAGAAATTACTCAATAGATCTTACTAGCCTAGTAAAATAACAGTAAATATTGTTACCACACATAATACTGGTAATTTACTGTCACAGTTCTGATATACCAGGAGCCATGGTTGCTCAATGAGCTTTCTGAAGGTCCAGGGCTTGATAATACCTTCAGACTCTTAAACTCAGTTTCACCCTGTCAGTGATTCAAGTCTGAGTGACTTGCCATGGAGAAAGCGTAAAGTCGAAACCAAGGCCCCCACGTGTTACAGACTGCATGTTAAAGATGCCTGGACAGTTGAAAATTAAAAAACGGCTAATGCTGCTGTCCTGGCAAATTTTCCTCATTGTACACTGCATGGCATTGCCTGTCTTCATTAGCTCACATGGTGCATAAAAGTACGACATAAAACTCCATTCATTTCATTTCATTTCTGATATACCAGATTTTTAATTGTGTTGTATCATTTGATTTTTCTTTCTTATTTCTGTGTAGAATAAAATTTGAGGGAGGGGGAAATCTGAGCCATCCTCAATTCTGGGAGACAACATTAGCCTACTCTTTTTTGATTCGGAAATGAAGGGATTTTTAATGTTCACATTCTGCAGCATACAGAACCCCAATTGATTGTACCATCTGATAGACTAGATGTTTTTTCATGCCAACTAAAATATTTAAGTAGGTAATGGAGTCCATTGAGATGAAGAAACATGGTATCTATATTTAAGCTGAAATTCAGATGATCATGTCACTTTGACCCAAGTAAAATATACAATTTATTTATGTTATGAACGAAATTGTCATGGGATTGGTGTAAGATTTTGATTTTGAGAACCATGAAAGGTATCGTGCTATGAAGTTTGTCTATGTATTAAATAGTTTATAATGAAACAAGATATAAAGTGTATTAAAACAGTCGGAGACTAGATATTTGATCTCTTACTCTATTCTTAATTTCTACTTCCATTATTTATATAATAGTTAACAGTTAACAACATTGACTTTCTTCTCAGAATAAAAACTGTTTAATTTCTTTAAAAACTGGTCTGGAATGACTCAGTGAGGATAAACTCATCTTCACAATGTCAAGCTATAAAGGTGCATTTATACAGAACGCGAACGCGGTTTTTCATCATGGAATGGTTTCATCATTTTATAGAGGGACCGTTCAAATAGAATGCGAACGCGAACAAATATTTGTTCGCGCGGTCGACCGCCGAGATTGCCCCAAGAGCGAATTTTTCAGAAAGTCGTGGCGGATTTCTTGCTATCAACCAATCAGCTTGTACCACCTGCCTTGCATCATTTCCTAAAATAGAAACGTGTGCACATGGCTTTTCCAATTTGCTTGTAGGGTACAAACAATGGATAAAACGGAAGTTTTGATTTTAGAAGTTGAAAAGAATCCAGTTTTGTTTGACAAAGCTGAAAAAACTTACAAAGAGACAGTAAAAAAGAAAGATATTTGGAAGGGAATCGGAGAGAAGGTTGGACTGACAGGTTTGTGATTAAAAAAAATTCAATTTATTTTGCGTGTTTCATCAATGGTATGGAACTTATAAAGAAAATAACATTGGACCAATTCATTAATTAATTACTTATTAATTGACTGTTGTCACACTTTGTTTAACAACAAAAAAGGCGATCCGCATTGAAAGCCGTTGACGGTTTTCCGCGTCGGTCGCGGTTGCATTCGCGCTCTGTATAAACCCACCTTAACTCTGATTGGCTGTTTTCGCTAGCATAACCAAATCACTTCATTTACAAACTTCCCATGAAACAAGAAAGGTGACTATTGCAGTCAATAGCTTGACATTGTGAAGATGAAGTTTGTAATAGCTTGACATTGTGAAGATGAAGTTTGTAATAGCTTGACATTGTGAAGATGAAGTTTGTAATAGCTTATTGATATTGTGAAGATAAAGTTTGTAATAGCTTGACATTGTAGAGATGAAGTTTGTAATAGCTTATTGATATTGTGTAGATGAAGTTTGTAATAGCTTGACATTGTGAAGATGAAGTTTGTAATAGCTTGATATTGTGAAGATGAAGTTTGTAATAGCTTGACATTGTAAAGATGAAGTTTGTAATAGCTTGACATTATAAAGATGTAGTTTGTAATAGCTTGACATTGTGAAGATGAAGTTTGTAATAGCTTGACATTGTAAAGATGAAATTAGTAATAGCTTGACATTGTGAAGATAAATTTTGTAATAGCTTGACATTGTAAAGATGAAGTTTGTAATAGCTTATTGATATTGTGAAGATAAAGTTTGTAATAGCTTGACATTACAAAGATGAAGTTTGTAATAGCTTGACATTATAAAGATGTAGTTTGTAATAGCTTGACATTGTGAAGATGAAGTTTGTAATAGCTTATTGATATTGTGAAGATAAAGTTTGTAATAGCTTGACATTGTAAAGATGAAGTTTGTAATAGCTTGACATTGTGAAGATGAAGTTTGTAATAGCTTGACATTATAAAGATGTAGTTTGGAATAGCTTGACATTGTGAAGAAGCACTTTGTAATGCCTTGACATTGTGAAGATAAAGTTTGTAACATTAATTTGGTCTTTTGGTTCATCACTATTTCAGAGGGTTCACATGGCTATAGTTCCTTTGCTAAGATTATTATGAACAAGCTAAATTAAATAAACTGGGGTTGATATCTGAGTTAAAGGAATCATTAAGAGATTTTTAAACTTTTTATGTGTATCAGGGACACTGATAGCATCAATTGGCATCATTTCAATTTTCAGTAAGATGTCTGTGGTTCCTGTAATTCCACTAGTACACTACATTATCTGAAAGCCCCGGATATATGATTAGGACTTTTTTACGATAGTGATGCCAATATCAGATGATGATGGTTCCCAATATACTTAAAACATTAAGAAAATCTCTTTTCTATCTCTAAGATATTATATTAGGCAGAGTTTGTGATACAGTCTCTTTAAGACACTAATCCAGGTGTGTAATATTATTCTCAGGTAAAACTAATTACCCAGCAGGTAACAACCTGGTATTTATTACTCTCTAATATCTTATATCTCTACTGATTTCTTTATAGTTGTTATCAGAAACTTTTATCAGAAACTTTTATCAGAAACTTTTATCAGAAACTTTTATCCTGAGGACAGGAACTCTTTTAATGCTAGATGTCTTAAAATTCCAAAGAAATATTTTTTCTATGAAATTTCGTGATTGCAAATTTTCTTGTGTGAGTCTTATCTTTGCCATTCATTTGGCTAAGTAAACTTTAGTCTCAGAAAGGAGAATTTTTTTAGCTGAGCCAATCAGTAATAGTGTTCACAGTTGACCATCGAAATTTTAGCCTTTAAATTAATGTGTGGTGAGAATTATCAGCGATTGAATGTTAAAATGACAACTCGTCAATTTAAGATACTCTGTGATATATAGAAAAGACATATATAGAAATAGTCAGTAAAATTCATAGTCATATGTATTTATAATATTTATTATTTATAAGTATTTTTGAAGGAATTTTGTGATTTTCGTACATTTCTAGTACTTCTGAAGACTATTTACATATATTCAAGACTAAAATCAACCCCCGAAAATAGCACATCTGTCCCTTTAAATTGATGTATGGCTTGTTATTTCAACTTTGTATATAATCAATTTTAATGATTGACTATTCAGATGATGTTATTTAAAGTTCAGTCTACCAGAAAAAGAAGGATTATATCTGTATCAATGAGGCTGTATATGATTTATAATTAAACCTCTATAACTACTGTTGTAGATCTCTATCTTCCTATACATAGTCTAGTTTATTATGTCCATGCATGCTATAACCTAATTTAATAACAGATGAAAGAGTAAACCAGTTAGTATTCTTCACTGATTGTTAACTTGCTATATTAATATAGCTCTCTTTCTTAACATTGTTCTGTGATTTTACCAATGCTGTTGATGTCATCAAGTTTACTGATCATTACTATTAGTAAATTTTGTATGTTGTTATAGGTAACCTTATGATATGCAATTGTTGTGTTCTATGATTTTAACAAGGCTGTTGATGTGATCAAGTATACCAATCTAGTCATAGACATACAATTTATGATCCCAAAAAAAAAATTGTACAGTCCTAATTGTCAAAAGAGAATTTACTAAGACTGTTGAAGTAAGGGACATTTATTGTAAAATTTGAATCTGTGATTTTACCAAAGCTGTTGATTGGATGAATGTAATAAAGTTTGCCAGACTTCTTCTACAATTCCAGTAAACAGTACATGATTTTAAGATAATCCTATGAATTACCTGACGTAAGCTACGTTTTTTAGACTTGTAATTTAATTACTAACAGGGTTGACCAAGAATCAGCTTAAAGATAGGAACTTGAGTTTTTAGACTTGTACAATCAATACCAAGAGATTTGACCAAGAGTGAACTTAAAGATAGGAACCTTAGTTGTTATCCTTGTACAATCAATACCAAGACTAAGGACCAACTAGTAAATAGGACCCAAAACCTATCCTAATGAAAAAGGCTTGTTTCATTCTTTCTAAACTGTGACCTTTCTAGTTAACCATTTACTAGAATTATTGTGTCTAAAGAGAAATTTGATTCTAGCCACCTCACCTCCACCTTGATTTGATTTATTTACCTAATTAATGAACTTTTAACTAATTAACTGGACAGTGCAGATAATAGATTTCTTAAATCTTCTTCACTTGGACTAATTATATAGCTGAAATAGGAATGGTTTAAGTTAGTATTTAGGATGTGATTGTTGACAGATGTTAGCTGGCACAGTCCTAAAAAACTAGACCTTGAAGTGTGAATTTGAAATGGATTTTGTTTACTTGGATTGAGAAGTTTTAGATTGTTGACCGATGTATATCTAGCTATTTTTGACAGATGTTAGCCAGCAATGTTAGGAAATTTAGGCCCAACAATGTAACTGCCATGTCCACTTGTAATGTAATTAAAATAGACTAAGTCATTAAAAAAAAGACTATATATTTTATTTTTTATATGTTAACATTGTGGTCAGACAGACAGCAGTTTGTAGTCATCATTAGTTCAGACAGTGTTTTCAGACACTACTATTTATATAAATAATATATGATGTCTGTAGATATTTTATTATATGTATATGTAAACATTGTGGTCAGACAATAGCTGGAGTTTGGTGTCACCATCAGCTTCTAGAATGTTTTCAGGCACTACTATACATACTGTATGTATAATATTTGTTGTTGTTTATCTTGAGGTATATTTAGGGAAGGAATTAAACCATGGCTTACTGTAACTATAAATATACTGACTTGATTATAATTACACCAAGCCTATTATCTATCAGGCAATATACTGTTGACTTGTTCAGGTTATAAGTTCTTCACCTTGATACTAGAATATAGAGAGTGGTTCCTGGTATTCACAACAGTCAAGGTTTCTGTCTCAAACAACTAGTGTCATTCCTGGTACTACAGAGTGGTTCCTGGAAGTTCTACTGTTTTTTGAACATTGTTCCTGATGATGTTACTAGTTATTTAATTTGGTACAAGAAAATAGAGTGGTTCTTGTCCAAAATACATTCCTGGTACTAGAGCATGGTTCCTTGTATTTTAACTTCTGATAGAAGATTGTTCAGTTGGAATTAGAATATAGAGAGTTGTTCCTGAAATTGACAACATTGTTCCTGTTAATATTACAAGACTTTCAAACATGCATTACAGAGCGGTTCCTGTTATTTACTGACTGCTATTAGAGTTTGGTTCCTGTTGATATTATAAGTTATTTATCTTGGTAGTAGAGGGTTGTTAATGAACAATGTTCTTGTTGATGTTATTATTCATTCTTACTGGTTGTAGAGTGGTTCAGAGAGATTTTTGTGGATATAACATTACAATTTTGTTCCTGACATTTTCATAGATATTGGAGCAAACAGGATTGGAAATAATTGTTGTGCATCATAAGATTCAACTTTGTCAGTTTCACATCTAAATTAATTTTATTAACCATCAATATTTATTGAAGAATTTAGGATTTTGATTAAAGTTCATTCATGCTTGATGTAGATGGTTGTATTCTGCAACTATGTCCTTGGATGAGAGAGAAGTTTTGATTGCCCAGTGTGACAAATACTAGTGTCTAAAAGACTTTACTGGTATTAAGGGTGGTTCCTGGCAATTTGTCTGTTATTGGAACATGTTTCCTGACTGGAAAAAATTATTATACATTGTATGACTATTTTCAAATTTTTATTGGAGAATTTTTGACTGTTATTGACAAGATTGTAGTCTGTACAATGTAGAAGGTGGTTCCTTAACTAGCAGAAAAACTTATGTTGCCTATCATTCTTAGTTTGCTTAAATTTTACTAGATGTACTGTGACCATTTTCTCAAACACTAGGTGTCCTGACTATACATAGTTTATGAATTAGTGCCTAGAACTGATATTGTGTTTGTTAATGTGGATAATATCTGTACACAAAATCTCAGGATTCAATAGTTATAAAACTTTAATATTAACAGAACAATATTTTACCTTTGAAAAGTCCAGGAGTGGAATTTTATGGTGTTGTTTAGAAAATGGAACAGTCAGGATGAATTTTTATTCCAAGAATTATTCTCCATCGGTTCCTGATAAACTACTTATAGAAAAACGCAAGGTTAATTCTTATTTTAGGATTTACTGAAGTATTATTTATAATTTTTTGTGACGGATATTGAATTTTTTTTGACTGTATTATTGGTTAATGGTTAATGGATTCTTATTGTTTTATTTTTTTTAATAAGTGAAAGGAATTATTTAACAGTGCTTGTAGCCATATACAGTGAGATATTTCTCTGACTACAATGTTTTGAACTCATAATTTGCTAATGTTTTCTAGAACTAAGTGATATTTTTTGTGGGTGTATCTAATGTTTTTCACTCATTAACCAGATTTTTCTTACCATTTCAGACCAATCTGGCTAAAAAACGGGAACAGATGAAAACCACAGCATTACCAGAAGTCCCAGAGCAGAAGGAATTAAAAAATCAGAATGGGGAGGGAGAGGATATAAAACCTCCACCCCCTACAGATGACCCTGTGACCCCTAGTATACCTGATTCATTCCTTCAAAAACTGGGATTAAAAGTAGGCAAGGACCCAATCAATAAAGAATCCTCTTTGTAAGTATTCAGTCTTTTTCATGATTTTATATCAAATGTCTACATCTTGCCCTTTTTTCACAAAACTTGCTGCGTTTCTCCATAAATCATGATTTTGTGGTATTTTTTAACATTTCCATCTATGATTTAATTTGGGATATCATCAGGGTCTGATATTTAAACTTTGGGGTTCTGTTTACATATCATGTTACAAGGGACATAACTCTATTGAAGAAATGTTTTTTTTATGTGAGCTCCAAGTTACAAAGGCATGGAGGAATGGGAGCAAATCCAAAATCAAGGTTTAAATGATTTTAAAGGGTCTCTTTTGCAAACGTCCGTAGATATCATTAGATGCTGAGTGTAATGGAATTGAATGTACTACAGACTACTGAAGATTGTATAGTGTAAATTGATGCTATAAGTGTCCACAATATAAAAATGCAATCCCTTTAGAGGAAATCAGTTTATATTAATTGTAAATATTTCAATCTATGATGAGCTAGTTAATAATATGTGTATAAGATAAAGGGCAATATGAGGTTGATATTGCCCTGCTGGAGTTAAATGGTAAAAGACAGGTAATAATATGTGTATAAGATAAAGGGCAGTACGAGGTTAATATTGCCCTGCTGGAGTTAAATAACAGCCTCAGTTTAACCTGACTTATCTGATTAGTTTGATAGAATGACAGAAGTCATGGTGACTTTAAAGCATTCAGATTTTTAGTTTAAAATATTATGTTTGACTAACTTGGTGACAGTGTTATTTGACTTGATTTTTATTATACATACCATTGTACCCTTGTTTGATAAAGACCATCTTCATTACCAAAGCCAGTGTCCCGACAGTTGTTGTTTTGCAAAAAGAAGAAATTATTCAAAATTATGTAAAATTTAGAGTTTATTATTATTTTTAATAAGAAATCATTTTCAACTTGAATATATTTTAACAGAGAAAAAAACTGTGAACACTTTATAAATCCGCTTTGGAATTTGGAGTGTGCACATTCAAGGGAATTTGGAAAATACCGTTATCATTCAGTGAAGTGTCGATTACGGCTCTGCTGACGTTCGAAGGACAAGTTATTCTTTCAATATGTAAATTGTTAGAAATTTTCCTGCTGTAGGAACGCCTGTGCCTACAGACACAGTACCGTAACATAATACTGTAGAATTTATGTATAAAGAAATTAATCATTATTACAAGTAAAAACAAGAGGCTAAAGAACAGTGTATTATTGTAATCATTGAAGTTGATGTAAGAGCTTGTCCAAGAAGTAGATCAGTTGCCATCCTTATATACAATCTTTCTTACATATTGACAAAAAACAGACAAGATGAATAAATGGTAAGAATTAAGGTTTGAGGAAGCAGATAGGTTTGTTAAAAGGGGAATTGAAGTGTGTAGGTTAAAGCTGATGAATGTAATAAACCAGTATGTTATCTGTAAAATATCTACTCAGATCTGATGTGATATGTAGGACCACCTGAAATAGGGCTTATTGTCGCTCTATTGTTTACTGCCACTCCTAATAATCTCTAATTAATTGTTGCTATTGTTTATTTTGTGTATATATATAACTTCTTGTACCATATTTCCTCACTTCACCTGAAGATGACAATGTAGATTGTGAAACGTAGTGG